TGTGTGTGTGTGTGTGTGTGTGTGTGTGTGTGTCTGACGCTCAGCTCACACACACACATTTGAGCTGAGCTCCTGCCTGCCGACTGACAAGCACACAGACCTACCCTCGTGCACGACCCTGTCTCTCTCCTTTTTCCTCTGAGCCCAGAGATCGATCGCTGACCCCACGATTGGGCCAACGCTTTATTTATCTGGCTGCGCAATGATATTATCAGCCTTAAACGTTATATACAGCAAATGTCTTCCTAAATCAACACAATAGGATAGCTTGCAGAGACCAGCCTGGTCTGTCTTAAAGAAATCCTCGCTCTTTTTCTTTTTCTCCCTCTGTCCCCCAGGTACTCCTTCTCCTTTCTTTCCTTACACTTGGGAATATTTTACACTCTGGACTTGGAGATTTGATCCTTTGCTTTCAGCTTGGTTAGAGGAGGCCTTAGCAGTCCAGGAGATGGATAGACACCATTATCCAGCTATCACTGAGATTCCCATCAGGGGTTCCCTTGTCAGCGGGATCTAACTACTCAGACCCACTCTATTCACATGATCCGGATTTCTCAAAATTGGGGTAGGAGGGAAAGCAAGGGGTGGGGAACCGAGTTGCAACCTTGCACCGTGTTAATTGTTTTCTTTCCTCTCAATTACATTCATAAACCTATTTTCTGCATTGCATGTTATTTCTTTGTGCTTCAAAATTGAAACCACGTGCAGCGCCTTCTCTTCTCCACACACACAATAAATGCACTGCCCCCTCCCCCAACCCATCACGTAACTATTTACATCTTGGTTACTCACTCTGTGCTCAGACCCTGGGAGAAGAAATTGGCCCCGTGGGACTAGGTGAGGCTTTGTGAACAGCATATCTCAAATCCGAATCTCGGGCCCCCATCTCGGGGGAAAGGCTCCTGGGTTCACCTCTCGCTCCCCCCACCGCCCCCTCAAGGCCTACTCTTCGCACAGGTGGTTTAAGTTTTCACTGGGAGAGAGCGAGCAGGGGGGACATCCAAGGAGAAAGAAAGTTCTGCAGTGTTCGGCCAGGCCCACCCGCCACCTACGCCACACCCTTGCTTGCCGGCCAGTCGGGGCCAGTCCGGGTCAGCTCTGGCAGCGTACAAGCTTCTATTGCTCACGGAACCATGCGCCCTGACGCAGCGGATCCCGCACAGGGAGCCACAACTCCCCGGGGAGTATTCCAGTCCTGGGTCTTCCCAGGCAAAGAAATTCCACAATAAATAAATAAATAAACTCCAAAGGGGGGAGGGGAAGCTGGAAAATGGATTCGCTGACAAGGAGAGATAATAAATGAGAGGCGCTTTCAGATAGATATCTCAGACGTGAAATTGCGCCCAGCTGGTTGTGTAAGCAAACAAATAGTTTCATGTTAGGAACTCTCAACTTGTGGCTTGATGAATAGAACACGACAGAGGTAAATGGGTCTTTAACTCATTTAGGAATACAACTCTTTGGCTTCGCAAGTAAAAGGCCCAGTGATGCCATGGATCCTGAGCAGGCCCTTTAACAAGAGTTTTATTAGTTCCCACTTGTGTCCCCCTCCACTCCCTCCTCACGCTCCTCATGGTCTCCTATTTGCAGAGACATTGATGATTTGTTCTGAGGAATCCAGGAACTGACGGGAGGCGATTCCGTCACTGTAGGAGATATAAAAAAAAAAAAATGCCTACCGGTGGAATAAGAGGAGAAAGAATATTTTTTAAAAATAACTTTATTTTTTGCACATCTAGAGTGTGCAAAATCTCAGGTGGGTCGGGAACCTCGGGGATCCAGTTCCCAGCAGCCCTGAGGGCAAAGCTGAATGATGAGGTCTCCCAGACCCTACAAAGACCCGTTGCTGTTGCCAGAGACCAAGAGTCCACCACAACGGAGCATGACAGGGACCGCATCTTCCTCTCTAGTATTCCTTTCACCTAGCCTGGTCCCAGATTGGAACGTGAAGCAAGGGGGACAGCAGAGGTCTTTTCATCCTCAGAGCCATACCTTATACCCCCGTGCAGAAAAGGCGCCATCTTCTTTCCTAGAGATTCCCTGAGGAGAGCACATCCTGGGATATAGCTTTTCAGATGTTTTAGGCAAAGATTATGGCTAAAAGTAGTTTAAACTAACTTCAAAGTTGATAAAGTTCTCAGCTGTCCAGCAAGTGTGTAGATTAGAAAAGAAAAAAAAAAGTTAACTTTTCCTAGATAAAAGTTAATTTCACGAGGGAAATCACCTTATGTGAGCTGCGGCCCAACTGATAAGATGTATTTCCTTTGGACCTGGGGAACCTCTTGGTCCTACTTGGACAAGTTAGCTCAGCTCTACTCTTCTGATCCTTTAGGACTTGAGACAGCTTTGACAGGCTGAGGTAGGGCTACATGCCCCATGACAACCGTCTAGTCTACACCTGCCTGCAACCTTACACCAGAGTTCCACGGCTCCCCCTGGCGCATGGCATGAAGGCGGGCTCAGTACTCAGGAGCCTCCTGGCGGCCACCCAGGCGGAGGAAGCCTGCTTCTGCTCCACCTCACCTTCTCTTAGGGTCTGAGACATCGCGGCAACCAATGCCTGAGAAATCGCTGTACGTGGAACAGGGGGAGCCCGGTCGCAACTGGAGCCTGCCGCTTCGCTTCGCACTCTCTGAGACCTCGGGCTGCTTGGGCGCTCAACCCTCATCCCTCATCCCCTGAGACGCAGTAAAGAGGAGGAGGGATATTTTAGATTGCCCGGAACAGAAGGACCTTTTCGGCTGTCACAAGGTTCAACCCACGGTTTAGATGCTGCCGTCTTGGTTTCTAAACTGTCCCTTAGCGCAAGTTGATTCTTGAGTTCTTTCTACACTGTGAGAATGGAAAGCCTTTGGGCAGCCTGTTGGTCCCAGCAGGACTAACCAATGACTCCGGAGTCCCTGGAAGCTCTGATTGTGCAAAGACGACTCTCTGTGCGTAATGCAGGCCAGCGCCACCCTAGCCACCCGGGAGATGATAACAGGAGAAACCCACAGCTCCAGCCTCCAAATAGGTGAGGAGTATGTGGAAACTCCTTTCTCTTGGTTTCCTCACAACCCCAAAGGCTCCCTGGCTCCTCCAGGAACCCAAGGGAGTCTATGAGGCCATAGGAAACCCTGCTTCTCCCTGGGCTGTGCGGGTTGATTGTAATCTCAGCTTGGGCCCAGGCTTAGAAAGGTGGCCAGGATTTCCCAGGCCATGAGTAACTCTGGACCCTGTGAGCAAAAGTCAAGTCACCACTGTTACCTCTGAACATTGGAACAAAATCCTAGCACAACGCACTGGGTACCTTGTCCTTGGGCCTGGATGTTGAAATTAATTGTAAAGTACATTTCTGACCTATGAAAATGTTTATCTGTTTTCATTAGAGGGATCACATTGTAATGAATATATTTACATCTCATTTCAAGAAACACAGGAAAGATCATGAGCTCTCTGAGGCTGCTGGCTTCCTCAACACCTGGACACCCTAACTGCAGCTTACCCCATCCCTATCCCCCATGCTGCCCTTAGGCAGCGGGAGTGGGTTCCTAATACCTTCTGGAAGGTGATCAGGAATTATATTAGCTCTCCACATTCCCTCCTGCCTTAGGTTTCCAACCTGCAAGGAATTCAGCTTGGCCCAAAGAAGTCCTTGGGTGTGGTGCAGAGGATCTCTCTCCAGGGAGTAATTCTGGCTGCTCCAGTGCTCTGCACCCTGCTGTCCTACCTCGAGTGGTCCCCAGGCAGCCTGGTTTCTGATCTTGAACCTACAGTGGTTTCTCCACAGTGAGCTAGGCACTGCCCATGCTGTGTTGCACTCAGAATATTAAAAACCTCAAGTGGGTTGGAGTACAGGAGCTTGTTAATGCATTTTTTGGGGGTAGCACCTGGAGACTTCTAGATAGCAAATTGAAAGCAAAACATTGCCAGTGATTTCTGAAAGTAAAGCTCTTGCCTCATACGGGCCTGTCTGGGGCTGGGGGGAGGGGGAGGGTGAGAGGTGTTATTTTTGAAGATCTGGCTTTATTAATACGCTAAGAAAGAGCTCCCTTGGCAGTATGTGTTCTCACAGCTCCAGCTCAGATCCTATAAAACATTCATGCTCCGAAAGCTGTTTCAGAGAGCTGCCCCCCACGCACACCCAACTAGAGGCCTCAAGGGGAGGCTTCTGCCCTCAAAGAGCCATAAGGGTCCAAATGCTTTCTGGGAAGAACTCCTCCAGTTCAACTCCCAACTCCTAGGTTTTGAGTCAGCACCCTACTAAAAGCCACAGTAGCAGAGTACCCTTCAGTCCACCCACCAGATTTCCAGACCATCTTAGGAGCCCTCATCATAGGGTCTGGAAGGAAAGGGCAATCACCATCAGATCTTCAGAGGTTCAAAGTCAGAACTCTGATGTAGAGGGCCTGACAATATCCTAGAGCTGGGGAGAACTGGACCCCCCCCCCAGCCACTTGCCTGCACATATAAGCCCAGGGCTCACAGAGGCATCTGGTTATATATTACCCCACATGTTTCTTGCAAACCTCTCCAACTCAGCAAGTTCCCACCTTCAGTGAGAATCCAGGTGCTGCCACTGGGTCACTGAAGCAGACTGTGCCTGGTTCTTGGTACCTACAGACTTAGCCCCAGTGCCTAACTCAGATCCAGTTTGCTCCACTTCTCTACCCAGATGCATACAGGGCTACCTTCAGTTCACACAGTCGCAACCATTCTTGTCCTTTGTCATCCACCAAGGCACCCTAGGCTGCTTGAGGACTCCAGCCTTTATAGAGCCCAGACCTTCACATTTACAAAACCAAGACAGTGGCTAGTTTTAGGAAATGAATGTCAACTTGGTATTGGACCATAAATTTTCCTACTTCCCCAATTCTGGTAATAATTGAGCTGGAAATTAACCAGGGGGTTCTCTTGTACTGATGACATTGGCCAAACAACCACACACATGGGTTTTGCTAAATTCTTTTATTTTTGTTTAAATTTTCACTTCAATTTTAATTCTTGAAGAACAGCCTCGACAACATATATCGCACTCATTATAAGAAGCAAAGGGTTATATCAAAAATTATTAGTATAGAATCACAGGAAATCTGGTTTGGAACCAGAAAAAAATACAAAACAGATATAGATACATAGACACAGGACAAATTTTTTATAATTATTTGGAAAATGTTATTTTCCCCTAATTCTTGTTTCCTTTTTTTCTTTATGCGCATACGATGTTTAAATTTTACAAAAAAATGAAAATAAAGACTAGTATTTTACAAAATGAATAACAATGTTCAGTGTGTGTGTGTGTGTGTGTGTGTGTGTGTGTGTGTGTGTGATGTGTGTTTCTACATAGGATTCAGTCCATTTCCATATGTGTTGTTTTTCTGTACAGAATATATCCACATCCGTCCACAATAAATCCTGGAAGGTCCATTGGTCTCCTTCTGTTTTATTAAAATTCTTATGGTCCTCTCTTCCAAAAAAATGTTTTCATTTTCTCACCAGACATAAGATCCTTTTTTCTTTCCTTTGCAACGTGCTTATAGATCTGATCCTAAAAGAGTTTCTTTTTCTCCTGGTTTGCAGCTCCAGTTGCATTTCTGCAGGGTGGGCTGCTCCTGTCCCCAGCATTCTTTCCCCTGCCTGGTCTGCCTGGCCTGCCTGGTCCTCCACACCCGGAGAATCCCCGAGGCGTTGGAGTCCTTGGCCCGGATGAGTCCTCTGAGTTTCTAGTGGGGGCAGGGGCAGGCAGGAAGCACCCAAGGTCTAGGAGCACTGGATGGACATGTAAGGCCAGTTGAAGCTGCTCCCAGACAGTAACATATCTCGGATGAGAGTTTCAATAGGGGTTTTACCTACCAAACGGACGAAGAAGAGCTGCTCGATGACAGAGGAGGACACGGTGCGGAGCGAGGGCAGTCGCAGCAGCAGTTTGCCGAAGCGGCTGGGCTGGTTGGGATACTGGCTCCTCACATATTCCTCCAGTGCGCATTGTGATTTCTCCTGCAGGCTTTCGATGTGGGCGGCATCCGACAGGCCACAGGCATCTGCCAGAGCAGCCATAGGAGGGAGAGACAGGGAGAGGGGGCACATGGTTAGCTGGAGAGCAGCAAAGGCACAAACAACAAGCCATTAATTTTTTTAAAGAGAATGAAATAAGGAAGAAAAAGAAAAGAAAAAATAAAGAGAAATCTTCCCCCTCATACCTCCCCCCTCTCTTCTTCACCATTCCTTTCCAGATACAAATAAAAATAAATCATAATCCCATTGTAGCAGAGGGGTGTTGGAGAGAGATGCACACTCATGCAGAGGCAGCAACCTCTCTAGACTCTTTGTTTTTCCCCTTTCACTTTGGATTAAATAATGTACGATGCTGGAGCCATGTTTGCTGTATGTAGCAACCTGTCCTCGCCTGCAGGGGAGCATCCTTCTGGCTGTGCTCATTAAAGGGAAGACTTTCCCCATTTTGCCCCTAATTTGGGGGTGTTCAGGACTTCTGAAAAAGTATATGGCCTGGAGGCAGTTCTCAAAGACTTCTTAGAGTCCCCTCTCAAAACCAAATGACCCCAACTAGAAAGCTCAAGGAGAACCTAGATTATGTACTGAATGTGTGTGTAGGGGGGGCAGGTAAGGAATCATGGGCTGGCAGTGCCTAGAATCAGATCAGGCTCATGCTTTAGCAATATAGGATTTGAGATCCACTATCTATGCAAGCAAAGACTCTGCAGCAAATCCTCCATGAGAGTGTACACTTCTATCTATGCCTTAGATCAAGTAATTGAAAATTGGTCACATCTCTAAGCTGTATACTAATCAGAGGAATATGGCTCAGTTATACTAGGCTGCAGAAAGGAGAGATCTTTGGTGAGCAGACACAAAGCTGGGTTAGAGGCAGTAGCAGCTGCTGCCGGTTCAGAATCAGGGAATAGGGAGTTAAGGGGAAACTTGGGGGAGATAGGTTTCCTGTGGTAAGACCCAAGGAGAAAAAGGTACCTCTGCACAATGATGACATTTCAAGATCTGTGTGCTTATTTCATACCAACCAAGGCCCTTATTGGTCTTCTAAAGACATTTCAAGACAGCAGATTATACTTTATCAACAAACTTGAGGCAAGGAAATGGAGGGTTTAGGTGGAATCAGAGGAATAGAGTAAAGACTTCCATCTTAGTTCAAATACTCATGTTGTTTCTCACATTAATAATAAATATTTTAGAAATAGGAGGATCACAGAGGAGCCCTTAGCTAGTCAGGTTGACTAGAGATCAAAGACATAGTTTGCTAATATATAGACCTGTAAGAAATACATGCATGGCAATGCCCCCAAAAGGATACCATATAATTGTGAATGGGCAAGTGTGACCCTAAAGAAGACATCACAAATGATTCAAAGAGAAACCTGCATCCACTGAGTTTCTAAGCTTTATGTCCTTATATTTCAAGAACTAGGATTTACAAAGCATTCTAATACCTTCATCTACAAGGCTATGGCCTCAAGCAAAAATACAAATAAAACTAGCAATAATTCAAGACCTTCTGAGGCAAGTCCCCTTTGACCTCAGATTCAGACTGGGTTCCTTTCAGATGTCTAATTACTCCAGCCACCTGGTTGGATGTATCCACAGTGGCTTGAATTGAGAAGTCTGTGAGATTTTATGGCCAGCAGGACCAGGACAGAAGCTCTTTGGGGTTTCACTATTTAAGAGGTCTGCCCTTGGTTCTACTTGCTTACCTGATCCAGTTGAATGGCCATCTTGCAGACCCATATTTACATATATCTTGCTTTACATGTATTATCTTTCATTGTGCCATGAATCCCTTTTAGCCCAAGACAATGCAATATGGAAAGAAACCATTGCTACCCAGAAAAAAAAATAATGATCCATATGGCAACTCCTCAGATCAGTAAAATAGTTATCTGATATTTGCAAGTAGGGTTCCCAGAGTGCAAGGTCATTCTCCTCCTCCCAGATAGGTCACTTCAAGAGAGAAGCTCAGGAAAGTTAAGCTTGAGTTCTGTGCTTTCTGTTTCCATTTCTTTCCTTCTTTGGGAATGCGGTGCTTCTAGCTGGGCCTGTGATCTCCCTACAGCAGGAGCCCTAATTCTGGACCTGGCTTCTCACCCTGGGTATTCATTAACCCCATTGCAACAGAATTTTCCCAAGTGTGGGCTGAGGATATGCACTCTCACATCAATTGGGGGATTGTGGTGGAAAAGTTAGGTAAGCAGGAGGTGAAATGCAGTACATATTTACACTCCATGAGTTATACTTCAGATAAGAAAAGGAGATGGATTGTGCAAAATTCATGTCTCACTTTTTATATGGTAGTGTCAATGTGGGAACCCTCAATATTTCTTCTACAGTGTATGGAAAAGAAATTATGTAAATAAATAACCATTACTGCTCAGGCCCTCCCGGCTTAGCCTTTGTAGTGCAGAGAATGTATTTCATGTTGTGCATTCAGAAGAGTTTAGTGTTCAGGAAATATAGATGTAATCAGCTGCCATAACTAGAAATCAAAGTTATTATTGTGCTGAAAATGGATTTATTGTATTTATGTTAACTAGATGACTCCTTTCAGAGATGGTCTCATTTATTTGAAGGAATATTTAGGTGTATGAATTAATGAATTTTTTTAAAAAAGTAAGTTTAGGTCACGACCTAGTCCTTGGATGCTGTCCAGAATATTAAGGATTAAACATACCATCCGGAGGCCAAATGTGAAAACCACCACAGGGGACCCCCCCGTGCCAACTTCAAATACTTGCCAGAGCAAACCGCGTTGGACAATATGTCTAAAACTGTCTTTTCCATCATTCAAAGTTTGCTTAAAAGTTGGATGACTTTGAGAAGGCTACCCATGAATTCCCTTCTGGCTGGCAATCAAAACAAGTTTAGTCAAAAGTGGAAATGTTTTGTATGGGGGGTGGGTGGGTGAATTACTACTGACAGCTCTATTTCCATTTTCAGATATTTTTCCTTGCAGTTTTCCAACAAAATATTGTTAATTGTTCACTTTTAGGCATCCCTTGCACCTTGAAGACTTGGTTCAAGAAACTTCTTTGGAAAACTTTTTTAAAAAATGGTACACTTTTCACAGGAATATTTTAAGAAGGAAAGTTAAAAGAAAAGCATGAATAATTCCACAATGTTCCCAGCAGCCGGCACAGTCCTTGCCTCTCTCTGGGAAAGGGCATAAGATCAGTAGAGTCAAGGGGAGTCAAAGAATCTTGGGGGAACAAGAAAAAGGGAGGGAAGACCTTTCTTGAGAAGACCTCTGTCCAGCTCCAAGTCACATTTATGCTTCAAGACACCTCGCTGGATAAGATTTTAAAATCCTAGCTTCCCTGACACTGGCTTGCTTCCTGATGAATTTGGCTAAAGAATCGGGTAGTAGAGAGCCAGCCAGGCCCCATGCCTGCCAGAGCTAAAGCAGCCTGGTCGCTGCTTCCCAGGCTCTTTGTCACTTTTGAAAAACACGTTTCCATCAGGAAGACTTATTAAGATAAAATGCATTCAAACACCAAGGAGGCTATTCAATAAATCTTCCATTTGTTTTAAGGTTTGCACTTTATCCTCTTGCAAAGAATACTCCTTCTCTCACTAGCAGACCTGCATTTTCACTGAAAGTAAAAGGGGGGCAGTCCAAGTCCATGGCTCTGGCCACCCTGCATACAAATGAGATACTCTTGTCTAAATAAATTATCTGCTGTTCAGATCGATATTAATACTACATTTGCTACATTTCAATATTGTGCAAATTTAAGAGTCATTTTAATACAATGTAAATACGATTCTTCACGCATGAAAGCCAAGAAATATTGATAGATTTTACCACTGCTTACTGTTCAACAAGGCCTTGGGAAAGTGGTTTTGCCATCTCTGCTCAAGAATGTTTTTAATTTGGCCTTTGGAGGGCCCGACACTAGGATAGATTTATTAGAATGGTTTATTTGTTCCCCGAATGGAGGAATTAAAAAACAATAGTGCCAACAACGGTGATAAAACTGCAGCTACTCCTACTCACAGTGGGCAGGGCCCAAGACCTAGTCTAAGCAGCACTGTTCCCCACCAGCCTCCTTTCTGGCTTTGTTTATATTTCCCCCCATTACCTGCTGTACAGGGTGTTTATATGTTTCCCTCTTACAGGTTACAATAATAAAAGGCGGGCAGTGTTCTCAGAGGCTCAGACCAGAGCCCTTCAAAGGAAACGTTAATGCACTTTCCTGGAAGTTAATTTGAACCATCTATCATAAGAGAAATTGTTAACATCCATGTTACCACCACCTACACTCAATTTGATATTTTCAAGGCACTACTTTAAATTTTCAATATTCAGTATATTTTGCATAGCTATGAAATTTATCTGCAGGCCCGGAATCCTCTCTTATTTGCGGATTCTACAGTATTGCTTTTGTTTTTTATCTTTCTTGTTTAGATCGAATCCGTTTTTTATGACCCTCAATAACCTCAGCAACTGCAAACATGAATGGTTTCCGATAAGGGAAAATCAGGCAGCAATAAAGTAGGATTATTTATGATTTATTTGCGTGTATTCTTCTCTTTCCACCTCTGTGTGTCTCTTTCTGTCGGGAAACTCATCCAGGGAACGTGCCACACAGAGTAGGAAGCCACATTCCCACGTTCTCTTCCTCCCCTCTCCTCCCACAGAAACGCTGAGCTCTGGCTCACTCACACACACACACACACACACACACACACACACGCACACCGCATACACACACACACACACGCACGCACACTTACACACCGTACACACGCGCAGCCAGACCGACCCACAGCACAGCCTCCCCTCCTCCCTAGGTGCACACCCACCGCAGTCGCGGATCCACGCGGGGGTCTCGGCCTCTAGGCCTGGCTGCCGGCGGGCCGCAGCCGCGCAGCATCGGCTCCCGCACCGCCGCGCTCCCAAGATGGCAGCGGCACGGCCGGCCGAGTTCCCGCGCCAGGGCCGCCGACCTACGCCAGGCCCAAGGTCCGGCGAGCGATCGGCCTCACGCCGCGGCCTCGGCAGCGCGGGAGACGCGGGAAGCCAGGCCTCGGCAGCGAGGTGCTGGCCCTGGCTCCCGGCGCGGCCTGCCCTCCCGGCGACCGACCGCAGCCTCACCTGACGTGAAGAGCACGATGGCTTTGAGGCAGCTGTACTCTGCGGAATCGACGTGCAGAGCCTTGAGCTTCTCCACCTGCTCCTGAAAGATGCGGATGTGGTCCATGAAGGCCACGACGCGGTCGGCGGACATGGGCGAGGCGTGCAGGCCGGCGGCGGCCAGCAGCGGTGCCACGTGCAGCGGCATGGAGCACTGGGCCGCGTTGAGCACGAACAACTCGCTCCAGGTGAGGCGGAGTAGGGACACCTGGTCGGTGATCTGCAGATCCGGGAAGAAGGGGATGTTGCGGGCCCACTCGACGGCGCTGAAGAGCAGGCGCGCGGCCAGCTCGCAGATGTTCTCGATGCCCATGATGTTGTTGGGCTGCATGCACTGGCTGCCATAGCGCGACGTGGGGTAGGGTTCGGCGCGCAGCAGCAGCGAGATGTAGCCAGACAGGTAGCAGTGGCCATTGAGGGGGTCCCCGTTGGTGAGTGCGTACTGGCCTGGATTGGGCTGGGTTGGAGGCATTCTTCCTCGCTGAACCGCTGACAAAAGAAAGAGAGAAAAGAGGCAATGTGCATCCAGGGGGCTTGCGAACATCGCGCGCCGCAGCGCACCCGACACAATACAGCAGCTTTTCCCGCAGCCACACACTCCCGGGCATATCTAAACCGCTGGTTCTCACAGCCCACACCTCGAGGAGATCTGGGATGAGGCCCTCCAGCTCTGCAACTCGATGGGTCCAGCCATAGCCTGCTGCCCCTGATCATCTCAGCTCCAGCGGAGCTAGGCCTGACTTCAGGGACCCAGCTCCGCAAGGCGAAGAAAGTACCATCCAACACCACGGCTTTCAAAGAGGAACATCCAGATAAATGAAACCCCATTCACCCCTCCAGAATGAAGCAAATCAGGGTTAAGAAGAAAAAAATAAAGGCGAAACCTGAGAAAGGTTGTGGTTGGAGGCAAATGCCTAGCGGCCTCCTCATTTGCAAACAAGCAGCGTTTTGCTCATAAAATGTTTCCATATTCTCTTAAAATGCTATAGTATTATCCTTAAAATAGATACAAGTTACATATCCTACTAACCACTTACAACTTTTGAGTAGAGAACAAGTATCCTGTAAACCTCCCTTCTCCCCTCCTCCCGATCGCCCCATACAAAGTTCTCACTATTAAAAGCAACAGAAAATTGAAAAATTTCAAGAAAAAGTTGAACTTACAGTAGCCAAACATTATTGAAAAAAGTGGGAAATATAATTAATGTCTGTTCTGCTCCGTGCCACTGCAACCTGCAGCCAGCTTTTGCCCAGTGAATGCACGAGCTTGCAACTGCAAAAACACTGGATTCATTAACCATCTGAATGCAAAACGTAAGCATGCTTTGAGTTCTTAAAGCTGACCAAAGTTTTTTTTTTTTTAAATGTGTATGTTTTACTTCAACAGTGCCAACGTTTTAAATTGCCAAGTAAACAAAGACAACTTTAGGAAAAGTTAGGGCTACCGAACTCTCCCCCCCCAACAAATTAATATAGATATGTCCATGTACATGTAGCTGCCTTATTTCAGGTTGTGCACTATTTTCTTAAGTTTGCTTTGATTCTAATTTCAATGCAAGTTCCAGTGCAATTTAAGACTTGAAACATAATGGCTCGAATACTTTTTTTCTAATTATAGTTTTGAACTTGGCAGTTATTTTTCAATTAAATGAGAGCACAATTCAAAGTTTTTTTTTTTCTCCAAATGCCTACAAAATCTCCCTGGAGCTAGAAATGAAGTCGTCATATTTGCCTGCTCCTTGAAATCTGAAGGAATTCAATTTCTTTTCTTGTGGCATATAAAATATAATTTTAAAGTCAATTACAAGAAGGAGTAATCTGCATTCTGCAAAATTGACTGGTTCGCTAATTTGACTATAAGACATCTTTAATGATTGTCAGGAGATAAACTTTAACTATAAACAGCTAAATATATTTATAAGAAAAGTGCTGCATCTCTTGCCACATGAACATGAAGCATATCCAAATACAACATCAAAAGTTGTGTTTTTTTTTAAAAAAAACAAACCCATACAACAGGGATTAAATGATGTGGAAGCTCATGCCAGCTGCAGTCTATGCATTATGGCCAAATCAGAAGGATCGGTAAATGCCGTTGTAAATTGTAATTTGTATGCAGTATTTAAGCAGAGGGTGGAGTTTGATGAAGAAATAAAATGAGTATCATGCTTTTAAAAAAATGACACTACTATGAAAGCACAGTTCAGTCACAAACTTTCCTTTCAAAGTAGAGGGGTGAAAACAAGGCCATAGCTCTGGAGGAGGCGGCCCCAGCTCCGTGAAGAGGAGAGGGAACCAGTGAACAGGCCAGAAGCCCCCCTTCCCCCCTAATTAGACCTACAAGTGCAATAAATCTCACTCCTCTTTTTCCAAGCTAAGCTTCCAAAAGGATGATGGCAGCAATGAATCTACTGCTCATGGTACTCCAGCCCCCAGCCCTCTCCCTTTTAAAATAAAGGGTATAAAGAGGTGGAGGGGAAAGTGGAATGAAAAAACACAGGAACTGTTTCCTGGGGGAAAATAGGCACCCCTGCCCAAGTTCATGCCAGCACATCCCCAAGCATCCTCACGCACACGCGGGAAAGAGACACACATCAAGCACATCCAACAGAGGAAGGGAGGGGATTTTAAGCCACAGCTCATGATCCCAGGGACACAATCCTGAGCAGGCAGCGGGCGGGGTGGGGGAGCCGGGGAGAGGAGCGCAGGCTGGGAGGGGGAGGCAGCGGCAGCGAGCTGAGCGCGGGGAGGGGGGGACGCTGGGGGAGGAATGCAGCGGGGACCACGGAAGCTGGGACGGGCCGGGACCACAGGAACCCCAGGAACCCCAGCCCCACACAGCAGCCACCCCGGTGAGACAGAAAGAGAGAGCCAGGAAAGCGGGCTAAGCGCGGGGAGAGAAGCAGAGAAGAAATATTCACCTTCCCGCCTCATGCCCACTTTGAGGCACTTCTTGAGGCGGCAGTATTGGCACTGGTTGCGGTGGTGCTGGTCGATGGGACAGTTCCTGTTGGCACGGCATGTGTAAGTTAAGTTCCTGCGGACGCTCCTCTTGAAGAAACTTTTGCAGCCCTCGCAGGTGAATTGGCCGTAGTGCTTGCCGCTCGACTTGTCCCCGCACACCACGCACTCGATATGCTGCTGGCTCTGGCCCGAACCGGGCGGGCCC